AATATTTTTTTCTGTGATTATTTTATTTTACAGCGGATCCTTTTAAAAACCAATATATATGCCTGTGTTTCTTACAAAAAAGGAACGAAAGAAATTGAGAAGACAAAATAGGCGAGAAACTTGGAAGGAAGAACAAGAAAAGATTCGATTAGGTCTCGAACCACCGCCTGAGCCAAAGTTACGGATTTCGAATCTTATGCGAGTTTTAGGGACTGAAGCTGTACAAGATCCTACTAAAATTGAAGCTCATGTCCGACAACAAATGGCCAAGAGATTAAAAGCTCATGAAGACGCAAACGCAGCGCGGAGACTCACTGCTGATCAACGTCGTGAAAAAAAGGCAAGAAAGCTTAAAGAAGATACTAGCCTTGGAGTATATGTCGCCGTTTATAGGTAAATATTATTTTATATATACATTTTTGTATTTTATATATACATTTTTATATTACATTTATGGAAATAATCTGTTAATATCTTTACAGAATACGCGACCTTGTCAATAATGCTTCAAAGAAATTTAAAGTGGAAACTAATGCGAAACAGCTTTATCTTACTGGTTGCGTAATGTTGTTCCGAGATTGTAATGTTGTTGTAGTGGAAGGTGGAGCAAAACAACAAGCTAAGTATAAACGATTGATGATGCATCGTATTAAATGGGAAGAAGACATAGTGAAGGATAATGATGGGAATGACGTACCGAACAAATGTGTACTTGTTTGGGAAGGGACAAGTAAACAACGGCATTTTGGAGAAATTAAATTTAAAGTGTGTCCAATTGAAAAAATGGCTCGAGAACATTTTAAAAAACATCAAGTGGAACATTACTGGGATTTAGCTTACAGTGGCGCAGTTCTTGATAATACGGACGAAGTACGCTCCTAAAATAGAATCTTGTAAATTAACTAAACACATAATTATAGCTAACGTAACGAATAATAAATAAGTTCTGTACAACTTACTAAAATTATTGAAATTAAAAATAAAAAACCATAATAAAATTGTAACCATAATAAAATTGAACATAAATAAAAGTTCATTGTTTCTCAAAATCTATTCATTTACAACAATTTAGGGGAATCCTTAACATAGTCAAATCTTAACATTTTATAGCATATTTTGTTAACTTTTGCTATACTATTGTTTTATTTAGTTTCGTTTTACCTATTTTTACCTATAAGTTAAAAAAAGTGGTTAAATGAAAGTAGTCATCCCGTATTATCCCACGCGCGACATACTCTCATGATTTATTGCCAACGACTGTCTGTATCTGCGTAAAGAAAGTAATAAATAAAGAGACGCATTCGACTATATCCGAACGCATCACAAATGGTGTCATCTCAAGGAATTTTAATCCGTGAACGACATCGCAGTCAAGCCCATCAAGTGTGTCAATTAGCATAGCGCAATGGCGCTACGTTCCCTACTGTTATAACATTTATGCAAAAGAACACGCGAGGTCCACGCATACTGCGTTGCATGCATAAAGGTGCGAACGGAATATTCGACCTTGAAACAGCACCTTCAACCGCGATTCCCAATAACGTAGTTGAGGAAAGGCGAACCTTGGTCTCATTCGTAATATTAATTCAGCAGCTGCGATTGCCGCAATGATGCACTTTTACTGGCCGTATACGTGTTATACTTCGATGCACTGTGCACCGTTTGATGTCGTGCGTTACTGCGATCCTGGTTGAACCCCACTCCGGGATAGACCAAACGGGATAGACTCGAGTTTTACTTTCGTTCGAAGCATCATTCTCAGTTCAGGTTTACCGCTGCGCGTTCTCGCGCACACCGCTCTCGCGTGTGCGGCTCTTGTGAAATCGTTCGAGGCAGATGAATGCCACCGTGTATTAAGTATTCTTCCCGGAGTGATCCCTACATTACGAAGATATCGCGCGCATAATCTCCAGAAAGATGTTGATCCCTGCTCAAAGCACCGCCGTCGGTGGCTTGCTCATCTTTCTACCGCGGTAAGTGATTTTACATTATATACACATCTCCTAATGAATACAAATTTCAAAAATTATTCCTATTATTTTTTGTTTAAATCTATATTGATTTTATATAAAATGATACGATATATTATAAACTATGACTAATTTGGATGACTTATTTTGATGTTTGCAAGAGACAGAATATAGCTCTTTACATGCATATATCAGAACGTAACAAAATTAATATCAAATTTATAACTCAAAATATCATACTCGTTTGATGTATTATGTTTATGTGTTATTTTGATATTCGTAAATATTAAACATTAGATAACAAATGATTAATTAAAATAGATAATTTTATGAACAGAAGAGTACGAATAATTGTATTTTTCTTGCTAAAGACAAGTAGAAACAAAAATTAATACAAAAAAATAATTCAAATTTATATAGGATAAAGATCAAATTAAATCTTAAATATTCTCAATTATTTGTAAATGTCGTTATTTTGTAATCGATCGTCGGCGACTTGTCACGTTAAGAGAAGAGATAAAAAAAAAGCAAGCTTGTTTTTTATGACATAATTTTTATGAGACTGCATGTACACACGGAAGAACGATACTTATATAATCGAATATTTTCTCAGTACGGATTCCATAAAATTATTATCCCTTTCAAAACCATGGGGGATGATTAAGCGAAGGTTGTTACATATCGGATAATTAGCTCATACGTTCTAACTCAACGATCGTAAACAGTGAAACGGCAGCGTTATGAAATTTTGCGAATGCGAACGTGCTGAAGTCTGTAGTAGAACGATTTGTACTCGCAGTCAAGTACGTTTCTCTCAGCTCATTATTATTTCATCAAAGGTTAACGATTATATTGTGCGAGCCCGTTCAGATCTGCACAAATCAACGCGCGATTTCATTGCGTGGGCAACATGAAACTAATTGTTTCATAATTATTATAATCTATTGCATACACATAAAGCATCATCTCGTACATATCGCGTCGACAGAACTTTGCACCGCACTTTTATTTCGTACGTGACACAGAACATCTAGATTACAATCTCTCTAATTATTATTAGATAATAATTAAAGGTTATTTCAAGATAATTATCTGTGCGAGAAATAATTATGAATATCAAAGATAATTTTCCTGTTTTGAATAATAATGATAATATCATGTAATGTCATAAATAATCAAAATTTTGTACATGTATTGCGCAGTCTTTTATAATAACAACAATATACTCTGAGCAAATATTAACAACGATAATAATTTTTTTCTAAATATATGAAATTGAGATTTAAATACCTTGACAAGTTGATCTTTGAGCTTAATCATCTTTCGTTTAATTCCATAAGGATTTTCAAATTTTATTAAAAAATTGAAAAGTAGGATGTTCTATTAAGAAGTGAAATACTTAACTCTACATGGTCGATTATACATGGAAAGGATGTTTCACGCCAGTAATACTTTAATGCAATGTAATTGTATGTAATCTACTCTGTCGATTCAATCCGTTCTTCAAGTCAGCGTAGATCTTCCTCGCTCTCGCAAAGTGCATGCTCGTGTTCCAACAACGTTCAAGTTCCGGGTCAATAAGGGGATTAACGGTTTAAACATAATTGGTTGAGAGTGATCGATCTATGTGTCGAAGTGATTGTTTCCATCGATTCACGCGAACGCTAATCATGGGAATAAAGAAGATTACGCAAAGCAAGTCGTAAAAGAACCAGGAAGGATTTTAAATGTCAGCCCCATGTTCGACCTCCTTTTGAGGCCGCTTTAGTTTGTTCCGACCATATGCTGCACTCACTATAAAAAGAATGACACGGTCTCAGCCGAGAGACTAATCTGAGACAGAGTTTGCTCGAGTTGATGAATGAATTTGTTGCGATAATGCGCGCAATGAACAATGCTTCTAATGTAACGGGGTGAAATGCCATCACGTCTGCAAGGTCTCCGGAGTTCATTGCGATGAATTACGCGATAAATTATGAAACGTGTTTATAATCTATGTAATATCACGTGTATCAGTTCTGCTATCACGTAGAGCGCCAATTACGCGGAATCTCGTTTGCTCTTAAATCTTGCTAAACATTAGCATAGATCACGCAACTTTATGTAGGTAACTTCAAGATCTTATCGAAATCTGTCTATATCTCTAATGTAGTTAAAATGCAGATATAGGAAAACCGAGTATTGACAATAGCGACAATAACATTCTGCCGAGACGAATCAGATCTGGACCGCAATCTAAATCGAAATAGAAATCAGTATGATATAATCTTAAAATCTGCATGAATTTTGCAAGAAATAATATGGCAAAGGTGTTTCTGTTAATACGTTTCGATTGATTTGCAATACGGATGTGCAAGCGTATGATCATCCGTAATGTCCAATCCCATAATTGCGCTTTCAATGATTGATTATATCTCATCATCGCTAAGTTAGATAATAATACAATCATCGAATTTGCATAACCGTTATTGGGTAATAACCACGTTGTACCGTGCAGCCCATAAGTGCATTCACACAAGAGCGCATCTCTATATCCAAGACGTATTTGCCACGATGGCACTCAGCGGTACCAAGCTGCGCATGGATAAGTGGGTGTTTTCTATCTTTAGATTACGATCCGCAGATTCCTCACTTTAATGATACTCGCTGGAGCTACGACCTTGCCACCCAGGATGCTGCACGATCTGGATAAGCGCACGAATCTTTCTATGGAGAGATACAGCCAGGCGGAACGAGCAATCCTGAACTCGCAGACACATCTCAATCAAGGATCGCCGTCTTGGTTCCTCGGCGCATCCCACGAGATGACCGAGGGCGCACAAAATCTGTCGAGAAAGGCCTTGCGAATAGAGACAATGGCGGTGATGCTTGTAGAGGCGTTCAATATGTCATCGAAACAGGCATCCTTGGTATTGCCGACGGTAGCCGCCATCCTCTGCCCGGACTCGTCTAGTTTTCTACGAATAATATCCGAATGCAAGAAGATAGATGTCCGATACAGAACACACACGGGTCGATGCAACAATCCCTTGCATCCGACTTGGGGAGCAGCATTGGAGGCTTACGTAAGATTTTTACCGCCAGAGTACGAAGACGGTGTCTCCTTACCCCGCACGAAATTGCCGAGCGCGAGAGAAGTCTCCTCGAAGGTACATGCCGGCGGATTGGATCTTAAGCATCCTTATTTGATGGCGCTTACTGCGCTTTTCAGCCAATTTCTTGCTCACGATTTGGCGCATACGCCTAGGATGGAATTACCAGACGGCGCCAGGCTCAAGTGTTGCGACGTTGATTACGAAAATTTTCATCCGGAATGCTTCCCGATCCGCGCAGAGCAGCCAATTGGATGTATGGAATATTCAAGATCGGCACCACATCCAGGAAATTCGTTACAGGTAATTGTGAATAAAATCTTATATAATGTTTGAGAAATGCTTCTAGGATTTCTTCATATTATTGTGCAAGAATTCTCGGTCTAAGCAATGCCTTTTGAGATGTACGAGAATTATATTGTCATTAGTATAAATATGAAAGTTAATAGTATATAATACTATTATAAGAGATTACAAAAACTAGTTATTCACGAAAGCTGTACATTTAAATGATTTTCATCATAAAGGCAACAAATGATAAGATAAAAGTTTTGTTGTTGCAAAATGACTCAAGCTCAAAGGATTCTAGAAATTAAAAGTATATTTTTTTATGTAATAAAAATTCTGACAAAAAATATGATGTGATCTATGAAATTAATTTTTAGAATTTTTAATTGATAAAATTTTGATTTTTCTTCAAATATTCTAGAGTTTCTAGTTCTTCAAAATCTTCTTGAATAATTAAAATGAAATTAAAATTAAAAACTAATTTAATCGCGAAAAAGATTTATGTCAAATATCGTTTAAAAAACAGGGTTGCAAGTTGGGTCCGCGACAACAAATCAACCAGGCAACCTCTTATTTGGATTTATCACCACTTTATGGTAGTTCCGAAGAAACAGCTAAGGCCCTACGATCAGGCAAGGATGGTTTGCTAAATACACAAAGAAAGAACTTGCCCATGGCTTCGCCAAAATATGAAAGTTGTAGAAGCGCAAATAAAGCGTTTCCATGTTTCTTTACCGGCGATTCAAGAGTAAATGAGAATCCAGGTCTTACCTTGATGCACGTATTATTTTTACGGGAGCATAACCGAGTGGCTATAGAATTAAAACGTTTGAATCCTCATTGGAACGACGAGAAACTATATCAAGAAACAAGAAGGATTGTCATAGCCGAATTGCAACATATCACTTATAACGAGTTTCTGCCTGTTATTCTCGGAGAACGTACTCTTGACAAGTATGTAACCTTTTTAACTTACGTTAATTTATAAGAAATATGAACCTAGTCATTAAGAATTTTTTTCTTTGTAACTGCCAATATATAGCCAATAACTTGTTTGACCGTTTAGAGAGAAATTAGAAAAGAAGATATCCTGCGTTGATCGATACGCGTATTTTAGTGCCATGTATCTTAAATCAAGATTCTTGTATCAACATCATGTTCTTTTGATAATTGCGATAGTTTGATGCAACAATTTCATAAACGATCTTATCACTTTTAATCGTTAATACATCGCTATTTCATAAATTGAACGGACATTCTGATGGCTCCATTTAGTGTCTAATGTAGTTTCTTGTACGATAGATTACAAGAACTAATTGCAATAGCTAATGTATACGATGGAAGATAATCGGACAGTGTTATACGAAAAGCGTGACCTCATTTCCAACTACACGCGAGTACTAAACCATATTTTACATAATAGCATGTCGGAATCTTACAATGGGTTACGTTTCCTATTGTTCGCAATTTTTCGTATAACGCGATGCCCCATAAACTCATCAATAATAATTTTTTAACATTAACACACAATCAATGCCTTTTTCAAATCGATTAACATGGCAATGAACATGTTTGTAATTTCCAATCGCCTTACACTGACACGTAATGAAGATCGAGCTGTGTATCACTCTGAAACAACTTTACTATATATTCATTCGGGTATTCTTCGAATCTCCTAAATGGTAAATAGCGCCGAATTGTACAGTGCGTCGTACGAGAGACGTGACGCAACGAAATTACATCATCCGCCCCCGTACTTTCCAAGACAACAATTCACGTTCATACACGGTACAACATGTATTATCTTTCGCTTGTTACGTGTGCGAAGATACGGCTTGCGCTTGACACAGCGGGACTACTTCCGCGGCTATGATATTCGCGCGGACGCGACGCTCTCGAATTCGGCGGCATCGGCCGGGCTCTTCTTCGTTGCCGCGCTGACCCCGAAAACCCTGGACTTGGTCGACTCACGATCGGCACTGAAGTCTGGCGAAAGGACCTTATTGTCAGCCTTCTATGCGCCGCAGGAGTTCTACGAGGCTGGCGCGATCGATCGGCTGATCGTAGGCGCTACAGGTCAGTTGGAATTACTTGACGTAGTCGGAACACCATCGTGACTCGATATTTCTTTTTAAGACGAGGAGAATTTATAGATATAAAATGCAAGTAAAGAAAACGCTTATATACTTTAACAAAAAATTTCTAAAGAATGTCATAGGATTTTCATATCATATTTTCATAGCACACACACATTTGCATAATATATGTTTAGATAATTAAATTGAATTTATGTTATAATTATGTTTATAATTATTTTATACAATTTATTTTATTAGCTTTTTCTGAATATGGATGTAAGAAATATATTTTACTTTTAAATGCTAAAATATTACAATAACATTTTGTAACAGAAAGATTCATATATATAACATTTCTCAAAGTATGTTTCACTATTGTAATGCAATGGTGTGCAATTATCTAACATCTAAGATTTCATCTGTCATCGTGTCATGATTCATAAATTAAAATTGTATCTAACATTCACTTTATTCTCTAAATGTAAACTCTTTTGCTTTTACAACATCGTAAGTGTCAAGTAATGAATGTCGCTCAAATTGCGCTTCAAGAAGATTGCACAATACTGGCAATCAAGTTGCGCTTCTCCCTAAGATGGAAATCAATGCGATACCTGTCACGTTCCCAAGAGCATTAAAAAGATAAGGGAAGTCATCTTGAGTGAAGGGAAATGCACCCGCTTGATGCGAATACGATAGATCTTCTATCGTATTGAAATACGTTCCAGTCAAGCGAGGACATACTAATTGCATTATAGTTTACAAGATAAGAATACTGTTGTCTCGGGTAAATTGCTTAACTGTGATTACTATTGTCATACATCGCGTGCATGCACGATTGTTCAATTTTCATAAAATTGACTTGACTTTTTATTGAATATTTTACCCTTCACTTTTTCTTGAAACATAGTATTCTTGAAACAACGTAATGTTTTAATAAAATTACCACGAGAAAGATACAATAAAAGGAAAATTTTCATATGGCAATTCACGTTGCTTCTTTATGTGTGAGAACAAATATTGTTATAGAATTAGATTATTAAGAAGATTTAATTAATAATAATTGCAATCTATCGCTATATCCTATATAAAGCTAGAAAAGGAAAGAAGTGTGCGAATTTCAACATAATCTTACAAAAGTTCAGAAATATATACTTCCATCTTTGTGTGAACAATAGCGCGTGAACTTTTTAATTACATAGCGGAAAAGAACGTAACATTAGTGAAAGGCAAGTTGCAATGACGTCTTTTTGCGAAATTTTATGAGTTCTCGTACTCAAGAAACGCAACGTAAAAAGTTGACATAAAAAATTTTTTAAATTTAGAACATAGATTTAGAACATAGTAACATTGAGTTTTATAAAATATGTATATACATATTTGCTTTCTTTGCCTTTCTCAGCCCTTATATAAAAGCAGTCTGAAGTAAAAGAAAAAGAAAAAAAATTTAGTTTATTCCTTCAAATTTTATATTTTACGACATTTTTAAAACGACTTTACATATATGTATATGTCCTAGAATTTTTTCAAAGTACTGATACAATTTTCTTAAAAGCACTGGACGAATGTTGAGTATAACTCTTATAATAATGCTCAAGAAAAAGATTCTTTATGCAATATTCGTAAATCTGAGTAAATTTCAATAGTTGTAAAGATATGAATTCTCTTTCCTATAACTCTTGTTTCTTAAAACTATTAAAGCACAGAATTTCTAAAAAAATTTTCCTGTTATTATTAAATTTTCTAACATCTATTGTCACGATTTATATTGACATATTATCCCATGAGAACTTGGTTTTAATGACGATCTAGGATGCAAGATCTATTTTCCGCGACAGCGGGACATTCTAGGAAGCCTTTGCCTCCGGGCTTGAACGAAATACTCCTGGACCGATACTTCCACGATGGAAAGACCAGCGATGTGGCCGTGGATTACGCCGCACAGATTATACAACAAGGAAGAGATCACGGCTTACCGTCTTATGTCAGATGGCGAAGCTTCTGCGATTTGCCAGATCTCATCGACTTTCAGGATCTTAGAGGCACAGTGACCAAAGATACTATCGAGAGACTTCGAGCAGTCTACAAGTAAGATGAAATATAGGGTGAGATATAACAATAAAGATCCCATATTTCAATTCATATCTCTATTCATATATACTATATTTAAACTTGTGAGTTTTTTCCCTTCCCCTTTCTTTTATTATTTTCTCTCTTTCTAGGATCGTGATTTAAGATAAAGTATCTTGCTCTCAAATTTTATAATACTGTTTAACGTTACTTTTAATGCAAAAGTATTTTTTAAAACATTTGAAAATTTTTATTATTTTGATGCTGTATTTCTGTTTAATTTATAGAAGCGTAGAGGATATAGATCTGGTAACTGGAGCACTTTCAGAAGCACCAATAGCCGATTCTGTTCTTGGACCTACATTCCTTTGCTTATTAGGACGAATGTTTCGAAATATTCGTTTAGGTAAACATAACTTTACTCTTTATTAAGCATGTATAAATTTGTTGAATAAATTTGCTAGTTTGAAACAGATATTTAGAATTTAACTATCTCATAATTTTGTACAACATTGTAGGTGACAGATATTGGTACGAAAATGGAAATACTCCTGGTTCATTCACAATAAAGCAGTTGGAAGAGATACGAAAAAGTTCAATGGCGCAAATTTTATGTCACAATGGAGATAGGTTGCAGTGGATGCAACCAAGAGCTTTTATTTTAAAAGATCCTTTCCTGTAATTTTCAGTTTTTTAATTATCATTTTAATAAGTTTTCTAATTATATCGCTTTTAAATCTTTTTTAAATTAAATTATTAAATTTATCAGTTGATACAAATTATTGATTGATAATTTGATATTGATTCTAAACTATAAAATATTTAATGTTTTTCAGGAATGATATGACAAATTGTACGTTTTATACAAACGGAGTTATGGATTTTGCAGCTTGGAAAGAAAGGACAGATATGGTTTAATTTGAATCTGATATTCGATCGTCGAATTTTAACTTTGCTCACATTAAATAATATTGTTCCTGATTGTATTAGAGATCGTATGTCTGAAATCAGCGATATTCTAATGGCTATTTTTATAATTTGAAAATTCCGTTATTATCACAAAATAATTAATAATTAGAAATTTGTATTCTTAATGTGGTATCAGATTTGATTAATATGATTTTATTAAGTAAAATTTTATTAAGTGAATACTAGTAGCAATTGAAAATACAAAAAGAATTTGTAATTGTCGATTCCATTGTTTAGAGAAATCTGATTACAATGGTAATGTGCGTCGATAGTTTTAATACCTCATGTAACAAAAGAAGAACTGTTCATAATGATCTCCATCTCATTTTTAATACGCACATTTGTTAATACACATTTTGTTGTACTATAATTATATAATTTTATTATAAATATTGTTACTGCGCGCAGTTTTGAGTTATCTAAACTTTAAGATTACGAATGCTTTTGGATATGTTCAGATTATAATATTTAGTATGCTCAATTTCTAATGAAACTTGTAATTTGAAATCGAGTATACGCTACGTGTGAAGTATTTTACTTTAATTAGTAATAACGATGGGGTAATATACATGAAAGATGTATAGATTTTATATATAATTCGATCGATCGAATCAAGCATTTTCTGTAGTGCATATCTTATTCGAATGAATCAGTCTCAGGATTTTAGCTTATTTTAACTTTGATATGTATTGCTGTAATACATACATGTTATTGCTACTCTAAATAAAATAATTTAACATTATGTGTACTTTATATTATGAAAGAAATGCGACATTAATTATATATATAATTATTGTATAAAAGAAGTAACATTAGAATTGTCATATTTTTTAGTAACATTAGAATTGTCATATTTTTTAGTTGTCATATTTTTTACAGAAAAATAAAAATAGTCCTAATTTTATCTATTCGTTAACGTCACGTTGTAAATTTATTCTGATAAACATCTTATCTATCTTAGAAAGATAGTAGTTAATTTTAATTGAATCTATTATCTCTTTATTTATGACAATCCTATTGTTCAATTGCGTCATGTTTTATATATAGTTTTAAAAACCGGAAATTCATATTTACTGATAAAAGAGTTCCAAATATTTCAACCAACACTTGGATCTAATCATGGACAGACAGCAACAAAAAATTGTCGCGTAATTATATTATTTTGTTAAAAGTAACTACTCATCATTTTTCACACTTCTAATACGCGTTCGACGTATAATCTTTTTTCTGTAATCTTTTTTCTTGAACATTCGAGACGTTTCGCTACTCATAAGTAGTGGGATGATTGTGCACGTTCACGATTGGTCTATTCCGCTAGAACCGCAGTAAAACGCAAATGATTCGTGAACACAGGCGTATCCATTATCCGATCGCTAGAATGGATGCGCCATGAGATGCGCGTGTGGTGTACTTCGTGGATTTCTAGGAGAGTTGCATCACTACACGTGAAGCTGGGTGGACATACCGCGTTTCCTGCTAATTTCTCATTGAAATTTTGTCGAAAGAAAACCAAGATGTTGACCGTCGCGAGATTATTGAGTCGCAGTTGCGCCGGCGTTACCTCCGATATTGCCAGAAAGCAACAATTTAGCACGATTTTGAAAAATGTAAGTAGTGATATCGCAATCCTCTAGCTTTTCTTATTACTAACTTATAGTCATCATTATTTGCGTCTAACGAGGCAGATCTTAATTGGCATTGCGCTCTTGTTAATCTATGTAAATAATCTCAAATTGCTTCGCGATCATGCATCACAAAAAGTTCTTGCCGCGCATTGATATCGTCATAATGCCGATTCTAAAGTCAGCACGTTGGTGGATCTCCATCTCACGTGCAGCGAATGCTTTCAGGTTTTGCAGTCAGTATTTTCTACTTTTCCTGTGATTTGCATGTTATTATTGCTAGAATTGGTCTAGACTGAATTGATTGTGTAGATCGCATTAGAAAAATTAAATGATTATATATTTTCTCTATATTTTTTGCAATATTCTTGTATTAAAAAATCTATATATCTTTAAGAAAAACGAATATACATTTGTTAATCTTTTATTTTATTTGCTTTAAATATAATTCATATGCTAATAAAAGTTTACCTATATAATTATCTTTATAATTTTACGTTTCTATAATTTCTCCTGTAAAGTTTTTGATAATGTTACATATGTAATTTTCTTACAACAATATACTTCCTTTGATTTTATAATTATATTTTATAATTATATTTTATAATTATATATTTATGTTTATATTATTAATATTTTAGGTTGCAGCTCCAACAGTTACTGTCTCACATCGGTTTACCGATATGCAACAATATCGGTATAAGTAAGTAATTAGTAAGAAATATATATCAAAAGTATGTTTTATAGATGAAAAGAATAATTTTTAAATATATTTATTTATAGATCTGAAGGTGTAAAAGGTTCAGTTATTGGTATAGATCTTGGAACTACCTTTTCCTGTGTAGCAGTTATGGAGGCCAAACAAGCTAAAGTTATAGAAAATGCTGAAGGTTCTAGAACTACTCCATCTTATGTTGCTTTTACGAAAGGTCATTACATTATTAAATTATTATTACATATTGATTTTTTTATAACTTATAAGTTATGATTATTCAATGAATAAAAATACAATGAATAAAAAATAAGTTAAATATAATTTGGAACACTCTTACTTAATGTCGTTATTTTAATAATAAATAATTCTTTTTTTTTTTTTTCAGATAATGAACGTTTAGTTGGTATGCCTGCAAAACGTCAAGCAGTCACAAATTCCGCTAATACATTTTACGCAACAAAACGATTAATTGGACGGAGATTTGAAGATCCTGAAGTGAAGAAAGATATGTAAGTATTGTGCTCATATTTATATAGCTTTTTGCAATATGATTACATTTGTTACAGTATGTAATATGTTTATACAGGAAGAGCGTAACATATAAAATCGTGAAAGCATCTAATGGAGATGCATGGGTGCAAGGTGCTGATGGAAAAATGTATTCTCCCAGTCAAATTGGAGCTTTTGTACTTATGAAAATGAAGGAAACAGCTGCGGCTTATTTAAATACTCCAGTAAAAAATGCCGTTATTACTGTACCTGCATATTTTAACGATTCACAACGACAAGCAACAAAGGATGCTGGTCAGATTGCAGGATTGAATGTGCTTCGTGTAATTAACGAACCAACTGCAGCTGCACTTGCATATGGCATGGATAAACAGGAAGATAAAATGTAAGATATATTTTATTGATATACGATATGAAATACTTTTTTGAAAATAATGATGCCTATTTTTCGTCTCATAAATGTATGTATACATACATCTTGTGTTGAAACATTTTACTGAAAATTATATCATATTCTTTATATTTTGCAGAAAAAAGACAAATTTGATCAATGTATTGTTCTTTTTTCAGCATTGCTGTTTATGATTTAGGTGGAGGTACCTTTGATATCTCAATTTTAGAAATCCAAAAGGGAGTCTTTGAAGTAAAATCCACAAATGGTGATACATTCTTAGGAGGAGAGGATTTTGATAATGCAATTGTTAATTATCTTGTGTCTGAATTCAAAAAAGAGGTATTGTAAAACTTTACAATTAAATTATATTAGATTTAAATTAAATAATAACTGATTTGTGATAAAACAATACAGCAAGGTGTAGACGTGACTAAAGATGCAATGGCAATGCAAAGGTTGAAAGAAGCTGCAGAAAAAGCTAAAATAGAGTTATCAAGTTCTCTCCAAACGGATATAAATCTTCCCTACTTTACTGTGGATTCTAGTGGACCAAAGCATTTAAATCTTAAATTATCCAGAAGTAAATTTGAAAGTCTTGTAAATGATCTGATTAAACGTACTATTCAACCATGTCAGAAAGCACTTGCTGATGCTGAAGTAACAAAATCTGATATTGGGGAAGTTTTATTGGTCGGCGGTATGACCAGAGTTCCTAAAGTACAACAAACAGTTCAAGAAATATTTGGCAGACAGCCATCGAAAGCTGTAAATCCAGATGAAGCTGTAGCTGTTGGTGCTGCAATTCAAGGAGGTGTACTTGCAGGAGATGTGACAGATGTTTTACTTTAGATGTTACACCTTTGTCACTAGGTAAATTGTTACATTTCAATTCTTTTATGTATAAAATAATATGAGCGAGCGTAACAGCACACTGGTCTACTATGTTAAAGATCCCGGGTTCGATTCTCCGTAGAGCTAAAATATATAATAATATATAATATTTACGCTCGTTTCATCTTATAGAAAGCAATGACAAACCACCGAAAATAATCTTGCTAAGAGAATCTCTATCAAATTTGTCGTTTGGAATCGACGTTAAACTATAGATCTCGTATACCTGTGTATAATCACCGTGCGTATCACAAGTATACGAGATCACGCTCAGATATCGAGCAATAAGTCTAAAAATAAGATAAAATGATGTATTGGACTAATCTTCTCTCTGATAAGAAATGAAGATATCTTTTAACTGAATTATTGAATATATTAACGCTAGAAATGAAATTATGATCAACAGAAAAGATATTTTTAAATTCTTTTAGGTATTGAAACACTTGGTGGTGTGTTTACGAAATTAATCACTCGTAACACAACTATACCTACGAAAAAGAGTCAGGTATTTTCCACAGCAGCTGATGGTCAAACACAAGTCGAGATTAAAGTTCATCAAGGCGAACGAGAAATGGCTAGTGATAACAAGTTACTGGGACAATTTAGTCTTATTGGTATTCCTCCTGCACCAAGGGGTGTACCACAAATAGAAGTAACGTTTGATATCGATGCGAATGGTATAGTACACGTTTCCGCTAGAGATAAGGGAACTGGCAAAGAACAACAAAGTATGTAAATTTTTTTTATCATTTTTTATGTATTATGTAAAAAATATTAACTAATGACGCCTATATTTTTTGTCTCTGAAATTTTCTTTGAAATTAAGTAAAATATTTATAAACTATTTAACTGAGTTATTGTAATTAATAATAAATTGCGTTTTCGATGAATTCTAAATTCACATTTTTTTACAGTTGTTATTCAATCTAGTGGTGGTCTTAGCAAAGATGAAATTGAAAACATGGTTAAGAATGCTGAACAATATGCAAAAGCAGATAAGATTAAGAAGGAAAGAGTGGAAGCTATCAATCAAGCAGAAGGAATTATACATGACACAGAAGCGAAGCTAGAAGAATTCAAAGCACAATTACCACAGGAGGAGGTAAAATATTAATTATTTTTATTAAATATTTTATATCAATTATTTTGATATATTTATTGTTTTTTTTATTAGTGCGATAAACTTAAGGAATTAGTTGCAAAACTTCGGGAAGTTTTGGCTAAGAAAGATGATGTAGATCCTGAAGAAATAAAGAAGCAAACAAATGAACTCCAACAAGCAAGTTTGAAATTGTTTGAAATGGCATACAAAAAGGTACATATTTTGTGCTAAAAATTAATTTGACGAGTCTAAATTACGGTGTATTATGTAACTCAACATTATTAAATATGGTTATTTATATTACAGATGGCAGCAGAAAGAGAAAGTCAAAATCAATCACAGCAGGAGCCTGAAGGCGAGAAAAAAGAAGAGAAAAATTAATTCTAATTAAATAATTCGCATTTTGTAAAAAAAAGGAAAGACAGATTCCATTCATATACTTGGATAAGCATCAGTTGCTGTTTTTGTAAGCTCAAAAGAATTGTTTGTTCCAGTTGAAGAAATATCATCTAAATTTCGATGTTCTGCGCGATAATAAATAATAAATCAATTAGAAACGAAGTATTATTCACATACAGAGAAAGAAGAAAAATAATTTTTTGCACATCTAGCGATTTGTTCTGATATGTAATATCGATTTTTTTTTGTATTTATATTAATTTTTGTTTTGAAAGAAAACAAGTACCGTAAGTTCTATTAAGCTTAGAAATAAATAGCTATGTATATTAGATGTCTATAGCAGGCCAATTTTGTAAAAGTTTTGGCCAATAAGTTTACACATAAAATAAATTATGTACATAGTTGATCGCTTGTATGATGCAAGATGGTCATTTTTGTGCAGCCTACGAACCATGTGCAAAATATCAAGATATTTACAGTTGTTGTAAAATGACAATTATTGTAAAATGACTTGTACCAAAAATGACATGAAAATAATTTGTTAACAGTTATAAACTTGCTATTGTAGAACTTGCTATTGTAGAATGCTTTATAACACATTCAATGAATGAGTGTAAGGTGAAAATATAAAATCGAGAGAATGAGATGTGAATGTTTCTATGCAAAACAAGTTTACTCTGTAAATCATATATAATGCAGAGAATATTATTGGGATATAATCAACTTATTTGACTTTCTTTAATTTAAACATCTTAAATGAAAATATCAAGTTTTATGATTTTGTTCTGTTCAATAAATTTTTTGAATTTTAATGTACACATTAATGTTTTTATTGAAATAGGAAACAATTATTGATTTTCACCTATCCTAATGTGTTTTTTAAATAGCATCCAGAATGAGTTTAAAAATAAAAAGATTCTTATTTTATCTGTTTCTTACATTTCTTTATATATTTCTTAAAAGATGAATTAAAAAATAGATTATATTGAAAAAAATGTTTTGAATTTTTTAGCGAACACAATCATAATGTATGAATAATTAAGATATATCACGCGAAAATGCTTGAAAATGTCCATCTTCAAACATGAGGACACGTAATATCCGTTACATCATTGTAAAAAATACAGGAAATAACAAGTGGATCTTTAACATTAAAATAGACTTGTTCTTTTTAGCTGAACTTCTTACACCATTCATCTTTTCTCTTTTTTTCCAAGATGGAGAGAAAAAGAGGAGAGAAAACGGTGCAAGAAGTTCAGTTAAAAAGTTAGACCTCGTGTCTTAGAACCGGACGGAGTGCAAAGGTGGACGATTAGGTTAGGAATTGCTAACTTTTGCAATTCTATTTTCATTCTACGATAACAGAGAATCATTTTAAAGTACAAAAACATGTCAGACAGTTCTGAAGACGAATTAAATTGTGGCGATGATCACGAAAAAACATCGTGGATTTTGTTTAAAGATCGCGATGAATGGAGTGACGTGACTCCTTTACCCCAGGATGATGGTCCTCATCCTGTTGTATCAATTGCATATTCTGAGAAGTGTGAGTATATATAATTCTAAAAATTGCCTTATTTTTATTCTAAACTATATTGCATATGACACATGTATGTATTTTTTTATATTATTATGTAAACTTATTATGTAAACTTATTAAAACTTCATAGAGATCCTGTTTTGATAAAATGTTTTATTTTTGTGTTTATTTATCTTATATTGATATTGATTTTTAGTTAAGGATGCCTACGATTATTTCCGTGCCATTCTTAAGTCAGGTGAAAAATCAGAGCGTGCATTGGCTTTAACAGAAGCCTGTATATGGCTTAATCCAGCCAATTATACTGTATGGCAATACAGAAGAGAAATACTTAAAGCTCTAACGAAAAATTTGTATGAGGAACTAAAATATACAGATCGCATGATAAAGTATAATTCTAAAAATTATCAAGTTTGGCATCATAGAAAAGTTATTGTTGAATGGCTACAAGATCCTGGTGAAGAGTTAGCATTTATAGAAACTATTTTATGTAAGGACGCAAAGAATTATCATGCTTGGCAACATCGTCAGTGGTCCATACAAACTTTCAAGTAAGTATATAGATCTCTATATAGATATTGTGTATATATGTGTGTATATATATATATATATATGTATATGGCTTATAGAATTATATATTTTTTTATCATGACTAAAATATGTATATCATATAAGGCTATAAGAACATATATGATTATAATTGCAGTTTATATGACAAAGAATTGGAATATGTAGAGCAATTGATAAATGAAGATGTTCATAACAATTCTGCTTGGAACCAGCGATATTTTGTGATAAGTAATACAACAAAATTTGAGCAAGATGTGATAGATAGGGAAGTGGATTTTGCATTGAAAAAGATTGAATTGGAAAAAGGAAATGAAAGTGCTTGGAACTATTTAAGAGGGTATTTACTTCTGATGTATTGAAAAGAAAATAATCTTTTAATTCTTAGACATTATTAAATTATATTTTTAGAATATTGTTACATGATAGCAAAGGCTTAGGTAATAATGAAAGAGTTAGACATAAATGTGAAGAGATGTATAAAAAAGGATGCCGTACTAATCATTTATTGGCCTGCATAATTGATATTTGTCAAGAAAAGTGTCCATCTGATGGAGACTCAACCTCTTTATTTCAAATTAATATTGCATATGAGGTAAATTTGTTTTGCAACATTACATATTTTATAGTATAATGCCATTTGTCATAATAATGTATTGCAGCTTTGTAATGATTTATCCAAACAATATGATACAATAAGATGGCGCTATTGGGATTATATAGCTAGTCAGCTAGCTATAAAATTAAAAACAGACTCTTCAAATTGAAAAATACAGCAATTCTATAGCATGAGTTCAAAGAATTTTAGACAATGATTTACATATCAATCTAAATGGTTGATATATTTTGGCCTGTCCTTTTGTCTACAAATACGTATAATGCAAAACTAAAATTTCACAATTTATACAATTTCTTTATATAAAACAAGAAAGCATCTATGATCTCAAAATATAACTAACATTTTATTAATTAAATTTCCAAATTATATTATACAAGATTTGGTATTATCAAGTTATATAAAATGTATTACATTATTAATTTCAATAAAATAACCTATATTATTATGGTGCATTTATTTTCATGATATTTCTATATTCCTAAAAGTGCTATTCCCTTCGCTGTTTCTGACATTCAGTTAAATTTAATTTAGCAGCATTACCTCTTACCAGTTAAAATAATTGTTCTTATGAAATTTTGTATAACTTATAAAATTCACAAATTATATAGCATTTTCTTAAGTTTATATACTACATCATGTTTCTAAAGTAAAAGATAAAAAACCGACACCATAATAAGAACCGAATCCATAATAAGTAATTTGCATGTCTGTAAGGTTTTAGTAAATAATTGTGAACAGAAAATAGTGGATATTAATATTGTATAAGATAGAAATGTAATAAATTATTTCATTCACTATCGCTGTATTGCAGTTTATTTCGTATTCTATTTAAATATTTTATCACTTGAATCAATTTTATCCATGAAATAATGGATATTATATACTGATAGGTATACATAACAATTATATGTATTACTGAACAAATTTCAAATATTAATTCAAATAATAATTAATTGTACTTCACTTTCAAATATATTTTACTTCCAAATTCACTTCTAAAGATCTAATTTATATTATTAATCTACTGTGCTATCATAAGCTTAAACACATTTTGTTCCATGACGTATTTGTACATAATTATAATCAAATTAATATTTTTATCCAATAGCAGATTTTTCATAGACCTAGTATTAGAAATTGTCGAAATTATACATAAAAATCTGTCATATTAATTAGAATGAAAATGATTTCATGCTTCTAATCTGTAGTAACGGTACATATAAACTGTAATTGCGGTTAGTAGAAGAAATTATCGCGCTCACTGCCAATTATTACGTAAATACAGCCTGCGTCAATTAACGTAAACGTAATATGATCAACTATGTCATACTACCATTGCATAGAAATGTATTTGATAAAACTCTGCATTATTGGATAAGCAATATTGGATTGATAAATGTATATATTAATGTTAAAATTAATTAGTACTTTAATCTACTAACAATTACGTGAAGTAATTGAAAATACGACGTTTTATTAATTTTTAAAAAACAATAAAAATAGTCTCAGTAGCACTTTTCATAGTTCTACAGTTTCTGATAAATATTAAAAAGTTTCGCATTTTTAACATTAAAAGATAAAAGATAAATATATTTGTATTAATTTCATTATTATATTAATACCATTTTTGATACTTCTTAACATGCTACGATTAGATATATCTGATAATGAGATTTTCTTTATAAAAACGTGCGCAAAATGAAATAATTTATTTACAAAAGTCAAAATATCCTTATTCAAATATCACTTTTTGGCTGCAATACTTATGTAAGCATAACTTATGTTCATTCTATCAATGTTTTTTCTATCTATTAATTTCTATCTATTAACATTTCTATCTATTAATTTTAGTTTCGATTTTTTTCTTTTTTTAATTCTTAAAATTAAAAAAGGATAAAAAATAAATTAAATCGAAATTAAAATTAATCTGAAATAAATATGAAAATATTAGTCTTACCTTTATTCAGCTTTTTAAATTTGAGGATTGTAAAATGATAATTCGATGACTTATTCTATTTGAATCCTATACAAGTCGTATAATTAATTATAATAAATATAAGTAGAATAATGAAAAATTTATAAATATATTGTGTGGTATTGATAATATTTTGAATAATAGATAAATATTATAAAGTCAATATATAAAATAGAATTTTTTTTAAAAAGGAAATATCATATTTATTCTTTTTCTGAATTTACATTATCTCTATAATTGTTAAAGCTATGAGAACTATACATATAATTTACAAATAAATGTCTCTTCTTCTTTTCTTTTCCAATCTTGTTCCATTCTTGTTTTCTAATGAGAGCATATAAAAATATTTCGGCATATATGTATATATATTTTTTTTTTACTTCTAACATTATTACACATGATTGTACTCAACTATATGTTCTAATTCCTATATACTGACTGAAATAACGATATTAGTAAAGCAAACGACAATACACATTACACGTTGGTTATCTATTTATTTATAAAATACATACGTATCCAAGATATAATACAATAAATAATCTATAATAATTGCAAGACAATGACCAAATTTTAGAACATGATAAACGGAACGTAAAATTCTTAAAAACAATATTCACAATATATATAATTTCATATATAATAAATCTTTCCAAATGAATCTTGATCAGATAATACGATGAATTTGTCACGAATAATCATCCTTTCGAGAAAATATTTGAAGCGAGAATTGGTTTTCATTGCAAAAAAGCGACGGCAGTGACTGCGTTGCTGCAAATAAAAACATTTCGCGCTTTTTTCTTGAAAATTATATGCGAAGAAGAGCTATGTTAAATCGAATTATGCTCAACATTTTACGGAGACACGCGTGTCGATGATTGTTCGATGAAAATACGACGCAATGTAGTCGAAGATAAGAGACAAAATGCAAGCATACTCAACATGTAGTTCGGATTGAAAGGATATAACATCGTATCCATCTATCCTAACATTTAACAATCAACATCCAAACGATTACTCCGCTCTTCCTCGAGTGGAAACATATCATCTTTGTTAACAGAACACATTAAATTGGCCATGCAATTTTCTCCTATTACAAGATGTAGTACATTTCGTTGACCATGATTCGATAGCGTTATCAAAGAAGATTGCTTCCACTTGGGCATCAGCGAGCCGTTAAAGCTATGAGATACGTAGTCTTACCACAAGTATATACACATACTTGATTACACTGAAAATATATGAATATCTCTTGCCTGTTGCTTTTTATAATCTGTTTAAAATCCTTCATTTTGTAACATCATATAATAATTTCTCTGTAACTTTGTTGTGTTTAATACGTGATGCTTGAAAAACCGCATAATACGTTATAGCAGCATATTTACCATGACACATATACTTTATTGTGAAATAAGCATTTATTGTGCAACGACTTTAAAAACAAGGATGCTTTCAAATAATTGACATGATATAATTCTGTAATATATTGATTAATAAAAAATTTTATTTAGAATTACCTATTCATTTTAAAGTATTTGACAATTCTGATTATTTTAAAAGCTTAATAAATAGAAACTCTAAAGAGATAAAAATAAATCCTATGTCTATATATATAAATCCTATGTATATAATTTTCTTTTTTGTGTCAACGTAATTATATTGAGGAACCTTCTTACATTTCAGACAATTTAATAATCTAAGTTAAAAGAATTTGGTTTTGTAATTATCTATTGTTACATAAATGTGTCTTTGGCAAACCTTTAATTTTAATATTTTATGTACAATTATAACTTGTTGTATGTACGCTGTTTTCCATGCCTCGCGTAACACAATTAGGCGCTATTTTTTTAAGTTCTCGTTTATTTTCCCCGTTATGAATATATAGTCTATGATTGGACCATCTGTTAGCTAGTACATGTACAGCCCGACCATAATCTTTTGTTATTCTATCTAATAATTCTTCTTAAATATAATTCTCGGCTTCGCGAACAACGGATGCTACCTCTTCGCTTTGGTGCTTCCACCGTTTGCGTTTTACATCACTTTCACAGATCAATTCACGTTGTAGTTTCTCTGTCCAGCAGCTATAATGTCTAAAAGATATTACCGAAAGTATTCTCGGTGAAGACTCAACTATCTACAGAGAAGAGATAGATTTTGATAGATAGATTTTTCAATTCTAATCGAGTATAGTGTTTCTACATTAAAAGGGTCAAGATAGTAGTACTCGTGAGGCTTTATAGCTTTGTAGCTGAACTAGCTACGTGTAAGTAATATCCACGTGGTGGAGTCGATCGAAAAGATGTTTTATTCCTTTATTTTTTCCAATTCTTTGCTTATTGTAAATTGCGTGACGTAAGTTTTAAGATCAATGCAATCAAAAGTCTATTAATTACATACATAATAATAATCGCATTAAGTTATGCAAAACTTTTGAATTGCTAACAGATAGCAAGAGAGCAAATGGCTTGATTTTGTGCAAATATCGATTTTACGTACATAGATTGAGTAAATTGATTTCTTTGTCTTGTTTTCCAAGATCTTTTTCATTTTAAAGGGCACATTAGATATATGTACAACAACAATATAGAAGAAGTTTTATAAATAATTTGTTTAGTGATCAGAAACATGCTGAGATTTTCTTCGAGTTTAATTTATTGGACGCAATTTGCAATTTATCATAATTTATAAAAATTTATATATGGGGTTAATGATAATAAATATTGATTTACATTTAATTTCCAAAATACATGTAAATCTTTTGCTCAAATATATGATTCATAAGTTTTAATTCTTATTCAGAATCATATGACAATACATATATAGAATGCACTTAGAATTTTTAACTTTTATTTATAAAAAATAATATTATTTCTATTATATTTTCTATTAAATTCTTTCGTTACAATAGATCAGCTATTATACAATATAATAAAAATAATATTGTTTTTTTAAATAAAAATTAAAAGCTTTATGTGCATTTATTTATCTTGATAACATAAATATAAAAATAGAAAAAAAATGTATGTTTTTATATAAGCATGGTAACAATCTAGAGCTTCAGATATATTGAATACCATTAAGAATAGCTCCTGAATAGCATTAAGAAATAATTTTATGTTTTAATAATCATATCAAGCATAAATAATTTTTATTCTTATTTTTAAGCAGTTGCCAATTATGTATTTAAAATATGATAATTGAATTACTTTCAGTATGTTTGAAATAAAGAAATAATATATGTTTTTAATACAAATGATATTATGTACTTTTATCTCTGATTGCGTGCATTATAATAAAACTTTTTACTATCTAATGATATAAAACTATTGATAATAAACTTTTTACTATCCAATGATATAAAACTATTGATATATGTGCTAAATAAAGCAATAAGATTATAGTTCTTAGTTTAGCTTAATAATTATGAAGTTATTTAAAGAAAAGCTGATATTGTTCGAAATTATTTACTGTAGAACTATAGAACTGTATACTTTCTTTTGTTTATATAATAAATATAATATAATTAAGATTTGGTTGAAACATTGATTTAAAATATTATGTATTGAATTGTCAATTCCATTTTTTCATTGTTGACATAAATCAATTTGTGATATATAAAATAAAACCAAACTTTCTTATATTATATTTGACAAATTATGATCAAACTTACAATATTAAAATTTTATAAAATTTTTCCTAGATAAGTCGATGTTTGCGAAAGAAGGTAATATGCAGTCTGGCAGCGCACAATAGAGATTAAATGATTTTTAGTAATAGTTTACAAGAAGTATTAAAGAAGAGAAGAGAAGTGTATACCGAATTACATGTTTTAGAGAAAAGATAAGGTATAAATAATAAAAGAATATTATGTATTACATGAATGTATAGTTGAGATTGTACGCATACAATGACGTTACATAATAAAAAAACCCACCCTAAATAAGAAATACTATAATTCTGTCTTTTTGTTAAAAAATTGCTATTTTGCGTGCTCTCTTTTGTACACTTTGCGAACTTAATAATATTCCAGTTGTCATCAGTCTAGTTTCGCATTAAAAAACAATAACATTATTCTAAAACTAATGGCGGCGCATAAAAAAGCTCACAACATATTTAAATCTAGCTTATTTCGATTAACCATCGTGGGGTAAGAGTACTTCGTTTTCTTCCCTTCGCACATCTAAAACTAATGTCCGATCAAATTCGAAACTATCTAAACACAGTTACCCCGTTTCTGTCTTTTATATACTTATTTACGTAACTTCAAAGACATGCGGTAGTGATCGAGTGATATGAGATAACATTCGATGTTTATCTCAATTTATATGTAAGTCTTATGCTCTATATAGGTAGGCGCTGCTAAAAATCGAAGAAACCTTTAGCCTGTAAATCTTGTCGTGCGCGACCTGCCTTTCCTATTCTATCGTTTCCTTATCTTCCTTATTCGCATTCTTCTACTATTTTTCCACGTTCCACGACGTATAATACACTGCGTGAATTGGAGTTATGTCAGCTTTGCTGTTGATGAAGTTAGTCGCCGCATCATATTACTCTCTAAATCGAAGAAATATCCAAATATCGATTCGCGATTCGCTATTTTACGAGAAACGCACGTAACAAAAGGATACTTGAAATTCGTATATATCTAAATAAATATAAGCTTCATTTGTCACTTCCCAATCTAATGTCGATGATTTGCTGGTCTCGATGCATCGGAGATCCTCATTTTATTTCATTCGTCTGTTCTTTCTTATTTATAGTTATCCAGAAGTAGGCAGTGATGGAAAATGATTAAATATACTTCGCTCAAGTAAATCTCCTTCGCCCATCGCGGAAGCCTTGGTCCTGTCTCCACGACTTGTGTTAGTTAATTATAATAAAATGTACATTTCGCAATATATTCGGTAATGGATCGTTCCATGCCACTCGAATACCAGATCGATAAAGAGAGGCTTCCTCCTTTGTTTCCGAATATCTCTTTTTCACACTTTTAATCCTGTGTTAATCCAATTCAATTCTCTCTCTTTAGCAGCACGCAGTCTTTACAACCTAGAATCTTACAACGATAATACGCTTACCTATCACAAAAATAAATATTTTGATATCGCTTATCACCTACATGCTTACGCACTAGAAACAACAAATCCCGCTTGACATGTCCAGCTGTACGACGGGATTCACGATAAACTTTGTATGTCTCATTCGTGAGTTGACGCTCATCCTCGCATTTAACTTTGTTTTTTGTTGTTGCAATTTCTATATGCACGCGAAACTCGCATGCTATTATTAAAAATTGTACAAGAGCTACGAGTATATTCACGTGAATGTACAATACACTCATCTAAAAATCCAATTGAATAGATGCCGATCGTTTCAACACAGATTTAAACAAATGAAATAACAACTTTCGATCATTGGGTTTTTATCTAAAAAATACACTCAATGAACATATAAGCGGTCAAAAATATTAATATAATTTTATATAAAAATATTTTTTAATATTTAAAAAGATATCTATAGAGTTAAGTAAAATACTGATATTTAACACTATGTTATTTAATATTTTTATGTAGATATTGTCTATATTTATAAAAAATGCACATAAAGGCCAATTTAATCGAAAAGTTTTTGTAATTAAATATCAAAATTGAATAAAAATAAAATAGTGCGAGTAACATCGTGCATTTATCTTAAAAATATATTCTTATTCTTTCGCTTATATTTATACTAATGCAATATCCACTCAATACAAAGATCCACTCTAATTCTTGTTTAGTCGCTAACCACTTCATACTTATTATCGCTAAAGTTTTATGAAAATTAGCATTTTTCCGACATTTGACAATTATTGGGGGCTTATTACGTACATTTTTTTTTTTAACAGATATCATGTTATTTGCATTACGATATCGTCATTTTTTCAACAAATTTCAAGCAAAATACCAAAATTATTTTACTGTCATAACATGCTCGTTACTTACTTCCAATCTGTTCTTGTATATATTTTCTCGTTTGCAAATTCTGATAACTGATTTTACAAATATATTCTATTTCAGGGGAAAGGGAGGCAGCACATCAATCAAATATTCGCTTAATTTTCATTCCTATCACAAGACAACCACTTTTGTAATTTTTTGGTACATCTAAGTCACAAATCTAAAACACTCCATTTATTTATATTCTTCCTTTACTCTTTTTCGTACTATTCTTTTCTTGCATATCTAGAAATTTCGCTGAGTACATTTTCTTGAGCTAGTACGCGCAGTGACGCAATGTCGTCTCTCGTAACAATCAATTCTGAAAAATCGCGTATCAGTCGTTCCAGGACGACGGGACATACTTTGAGGAATTCCTTTCCTCTCTGGTCCAGGGAGTTAAGGTACAACATTGAGCGATTTATTTCCTAATCGAATGATCCCTTCAAGTCCATGGTATATATCGCGGACGCTGTGAGTGTCAGAAGGCAGTGTCTAAAGCTGCCATGCTGGTTGAGATATCCGGATCTGCTCGACATGCCTCCAAAAACTCAGATAGTGTCACTACGCCGTCTCTATTGCCGTCCATTTTCTGAAAAAAAATTAATGATTTTATCAACTCAAAATTAGTAATGTAGAATTATACATCTGAAACAAAAATTTGAGTATATAATTTGTAACACTATAATAAAAATGCTCTTTATATTTTTTATATAACTTAAATAATTTATTATTAACATTTAGATATAACAAATTACGATATATGCATAAAAATTATGTCATTAAATCTGCATTTTGTTATACAGTTATAAATCACCTTAAAACTTAATGAATGATGTAGCTATAGTGAAGCATTGTATCAAAAAGTTAGTATTATATAAAACATTATAACGGTGTTATATAAACTTTTCATGGAAGAGTACGAAAATCCGCTTCATGAATCTCTCTTTGTTTTGCATCATGATTGCTTGCGGAACTTCATATCTCGCAACTCTAATATGATTGACTGAACTATGAATGAATGGAATTACTATGAAGCTTAAAAGCCCAGAAAAAAAGCATCACGTTGACCTAAATTGGAAAACCACTGCTGACGTATATTTTAAGACGGTATGCAGCGACGAAAAAGCGTAGATATTCTCTCACACTTCCGTTTCTATGATGGTATACCAATGTAAACGTATGCGTCACTTAAAGTAGAACTAATGTAAAACTGATCGACCACGGCCGCGCCGAAAATCTGTTCGTACTACGTCGTATTGCTACGTTTCAACTTGTATGTATTTGTTGATCATTATTTTTGCAGTTTGTGAATTTTTATACGTAAAATTTATTATTTCAATATTATTTAATTTAATTTCACTTCTTCTATCAAGTAATCATTAAAAATTCAAGATTTGTTAAAGAAAATTATTATTACAATTATTACAATTTATTCTTCCTATGAAATGGATATATCAAAATTATATGAGTAAATGTACAGTTCAATCAATAGTGCGGTCTTTGCGTATGTATTCAAATATATTCAACTGAAAGTGCAGGAATTATCGGACATTAATTATCTGCAATTCATGGCAAATCGAGTTAATTTACGGAACAAATACAACCAAAAATCGAGGTTGGCATTCCAAGTCGTGTTGCATGTGTGTACGACCATTTAGATTGCACGATAGTAAATCGGTCATTGGCAGGTGCGATTCGCAAAATTATTATTGCTCTCGCATGGCAAAACAGAAAGCTTGTACGCGGAGAGCAGTGCCTGTCATGTACCGTTGGATAGGATTAATTAGTATCACGACTTACTACTAGCTAAATAATGCATTATCATAGCTTTATATTATGATCAGCAGTAATTACCGAAAATGTGGGGAGCAGAATGTGGAATTTTGCAGGAATTTAGAAAATCCGATAGTATAATAAGATCTTATTAGACTGTCATTCATCATTTAGTATGACAAAAAGATAAGCTTCAAAAAAGTAAGCTTGTACTTTTTATCTTCAAAACCTTTTTACCTTTTTACCTTTTCTTCATTTTAAAAGACAATAGCGGTATCTCATGTTATATACATAACTGCTGCAAGTTTATTTAATAATGTTTCAGACTTGTGATAAATTTTGACGAAACAATATTATTTAACTTTTATCGTTAAATACGTACAGTAATATAAATTCTTATACTTTACATTTAATATTTTCTTTCATTTTTTTTTATATTCCGATTTCTTCTTTATAAATAACGTATGATTCAATCATGAATCAAAAATTGGCAAGCTAGCTTATTTTTCTGAGATGAGAAATAGTGGAAAGCTGGCTACGCAGTTTTCAGAAACAATGGGACGGATTTAATCGTGATCTGGAGCAAACGGTGCTCGAATAAAGCTCGTTTTTAATTAGTGCTACGAATAACGCAGAAATTCTGTGACGTTCATTACTTTTGTTTTCCTCGTGATTAATTAGAATCGGTTTAATCGAAACAAACGTTTTTACGAAAAAATTAAGAATAATTAACTATTTCGTGTTAGGAATAATAATAAGACATAGTATTTTTTCTAGAATACATTTATACGTAACATAAATTGTATAATTATATAATAAATTGATAAAAAGATTTTTATATAGAAAAGTATGATATATGATGAATAGAAATTGATCGAATTTGAAATGATTTTAATTACACAAATCTTTTGAGATATGTAGTAGATAATATTAAAATTGTATATAATTTTTATGAGTTTGACAACACAAAATATTTTAAACAAACAAATGAATATTTTAGTATGTAGCTAATTTAGAATCTTCTGAGCAATATGTTTAATTATGTTTTCAACATTTAAAAAAGTTATCTAAGAATATTGATGGGGTCTTATATAAAACCATGAAGGACAGGAGCTATTCTTTCACCGCTTTTCTCTACGAGCACATTGAGAATCTTCGTAAGCGTTCAAAGCTATTGTGCCGCGGTTAGGAGTTTATAAAGTGTCCACCGGTCCATTTTTCATTCGTGGCTTGTATTCATGGCTTGGGGTTAGCTTTAATAGTACTTTATCGTCATCCTGAAAAGATCTCGTAAAGTTGGAAGACCAAAAACTCAAACATACTGTATGTTTTACTTACTGTATAGGAACTTTATTAATTATTTGATTTGGAAAACTTTATTAAAGTTTATTTCATATAAAGAAATACTATAAGAATTTTTATTTTATCGCATATTTCACACAACTGAAAGCTATATAATAAAATTTTCCATCGATATTTTAAAATAATCCTATAATCTCAAATATAGAAAATAACAAAGCAATTTATAATAATAAATTATTTTTCATTAATTAACTATGGAATGCATATTAATTTTAATATTTTATTAAATATATATAGTCATTATAGCAAAAATATAGTCTGTATAATTCGCACTATAGTTAAAGAAAACCCCTAAGTCACTAAACGTAATTGCGAAAAGCTATTCGATTAATGCTCGTACGGTTACTCCATTTATTTTTCTGTACTAGCGATCTGGTTGAAATGGTAGTTCTTGACAGATTGATAGACAAGTACATGGTAAACAAAATTGAGAAGGAAATGAAAAAAACATTAATTTAAAAAACGAAAATTGAGCACATCTCAAATAAAACGAATAAATATTCATATCATAATATATAACAAAAAAGTTTTATTATTTAATAAGAAAGATAAGAAAGAGGAATGAAATAGAGAATATAAGAAAACGATAATTACAATATTTACTAAAATAGAATTATAAAAATCTAAAACCAATATATCTTTCTCTGCAATAAAAAATTACATCATATTGACTGAATAATCTAATTTTAAAAGTAATGAATTAAAAATTATTATACAAATATGATACACGTGCTTTCTCTATTTATTCTCTTATTTATTTTCGAAGCACGAGTTCTGAATTCTCTGTAATTCTGTCTGCAAATCTCATTACTGCATTCCTTATTGGTTAGAGTACTTCACCTTAATATTGCACATACAATAGCGAAATGAAACTTTACCCATTCGTACATCTATTTCGTACATCCATTTCCTTGTTTGCCCCCCATCAGACACGATCTCGTCTTCTTCTGTTGTTATATTTCATCTCATTTCTTGCATCTTGATTTCATTTGTTACGTTACATTTCTTTGCCAAATAAATTTTTTCCTTTCGTAAAGTACATACAAACTTCAAAGTATCCGTATTGCTACCGTAAGATAGATAAATGCCTGAGAAAGATCGTCTGACTGTTGAAGAAGTCTTGTCTTGCATCGCATTCTTCAAGTTTTTTGGGAAGTCCTGAATCGATTTATCTACGTATCCCAACGCTAATGTTCGGGAAAGAAAACCTAGAATGTCTGTAACGTACATCTGAGTTGCACGATATTCTTTTCTTTGTCTATAAATGAAACATTACCGCAAAC